ATTAGATTTGAGAACAATGCCATACTATTTGAAAGTTATTATGGTCATAGGAAATCTACTGTATATCTAAAACATTGAAACAATTTAATCCTGAGCAGCGATCACACAAGGTTTTATCAATGGAATTCCTTTAAGAACAATAATCAAACACTTGTGAAGGACATGCCGTAAAAAAGATGAGGTGGGGAGTAGCTTAGTATACCAACAGATATACTAAAAAAGATTAAAAACTAAAAACATTTCATTTTGTGTCTACATGTGTGTAAGAGGTTGTAAAGAAATAATGGACATTAACAATAAAATATACAAGGAATGATCAAACTTGTTAGAAAATGTGAGTTTTCTCAATTACAATGAAATTCAAGAAAAATAACTTTTATATACAAACGGGGATGCAGGCAGACAGGTGAGTGTGAGTGGCAGCCATGTGCACCTGGGAAACACCGGGAACCTTAGCTAGTTGTGCAATTAAATGTTTTTCCTTTTAAAATTTTGTGCAGTGGTTGTCTCGTTTTGTAATTTTGTGTATTGCTATTTCTACTTTTTGTGTCTGGCACAAGAACTTGGATTTGGTAGGGAATAAAATTTTTATAAAATACTATTGTATATAAAATTCAGAAAAAATATCAACAAATATGTAATCAGTATTAAAGATAATTGTGGTGATCTTTGCTTTTATAACATTTCTTTGATATAGGTTTTCTTTGATATAGGAAAACCAAAAGTAATGGATAAAATAGCTCTTCACAAAAATGGGAAACTAAATAACTTAACATTCAATAATAAAAACAAGGTATGCAAGGAAAATACAACTTTCAGTTTTGCCTTTAAACATATAAGTTGTGTAAGGAGATATTAAATTATAGAAAGTAGGTACTATATATAAATTAGAGAAAGTACACATAGATAAAAAAAGTAACATTACTTTATTTGCTTCTGTTCACATTCTGAATAAATCTACATTTCACATCTGCAGGTAAACAATTTGCAAAAGAAGATATATATATATATATATATATATATATATATATATATATATATATAGGGAGAGCATCATAGAGAGAAAAGGAAGACAAAGAGCCGCTGTTACTGCTGGCCTTAAATTACTTAACGCAAAGGAAGAGGTGTAACAGACATTTTAAAAACCGTTTCTTAGTTTGTGATTCTTTTTCTCTAGAATTTTTGTTTGTTCTTTTTATGATATATCATTTAATATTTTATTTTTGATATTATTAATACAAAAAATTCATAAATATTTTTTGAATAAAAATGGTAAATTCTGTTGGTTACATAAAAAGACATAATGATCTTGCAATATCAATGTAACAAATATAATATTTCTGATAAAGCATAGCACATTTCAGTTAGGAGAATGAATTCTTGGTATTAATGTAAAGTTATTGTTGCAGAGGACATGAGGCTAAATATCTCATATGTAAAATTATTGTTTATTCACCTTCAGACTCCAGACCTCAATTAATATCAGTGAGTGGGTGTGTGGTTTTGGTGTGTTTTTTCTGAACAGGGATCTTCTTATTTTGAGGATGTGTGAGACTTTTTTCTTTTCCCTCTTGGATGGGGTGCTTATATATATTCCTATCAGCCGGTTGTTCCATGTGTACACATCTTAAGCATAGCTGGGTTAACCACCTGTTTATATGTCTGGGTTAGCAACTGATATCCTGTGAGGCACAAATCTGCACCTGGTGGCTATGACACCATCCAAGTTAGCCCTCTGATGTATCGGGCTTCTTTGATGTTCTGGTGTCTACTTTAGTATCTCTTAGGGTGAGCCTAAGTATATATTGAGGTAACTACAGGCCAGGCTCTTTATTGATATTAAATTTGATGCAGACCATTTGAAATTTCCTGGTATGAATCACATGTTACATTAACAACAAATCAAGTTTGATAATAGACTTAAGGTGAGTCTACCAAGGTGATAAAAATGTGTATATTATTTTCTCTTATTTGCAAGTTTTATTTACAATAAAATGAAATATTAAAACAAATATTTTTTGATTCACTGGCATATGGTGATGTTTTTTTTTTTAATGCCATGTCTCTTCTGAACATGGGCAATCATGTATCTACACAGATACCATTTGTTTTACTATCTGTGAATTGCCATGACTTTTTGGAAAGATAGCAGAGTATTTTGTCTTCTCCACAGTTTTGAATTCATAATTGTCCTAGACAGACTAGAGAGCTCAGTTTATCCAACTATTTAACTAAGGGGAAAATGAATTTCATAGTTTTTCCAAGAGTATTTGCATAAAGTGAATACAACAGACTAAACTACAACTTGAATGATTCCAGTTTCTGTGCTGATAATTGTTATGATAATCATGATAATATTTTCCTCTTGAATGTACTATCTCCCTTCAGGACATATGTGATCATGGTTCTCTACAACTTCCTATCCTTTATAGCTCTAAGTAATGTTTGTCTCCTTACTATCCCCCCCCCAGTTTATTTTGTCATCCATTTACATAACCTCGTTAGTTATGTTTCCTTTGTTCTTCTTCCTTCAATGTCCTGTGAATGTTAAATTCTCCAAGCCCTCTTTCCTCATTATTGTTTCTCATTAATTCTAGGCACAAGTTTCCTTTCCTTTCCCATTTTTCTTAAAACTTTCTTGGTTATCAAATGTTCTGTTCATGGTATTCTCAACATCCTTCTGTGGAACCATATTTCTGTTCATCTTCATCAATGAGGCAGTTGTTCAGAATTCATTGCCATATCAGAAGATTGGTATTACATAGCAGCTCAGCACTCTTTTCTTTGTTTCTAATGAAAATGTTCAGTTTCTTAATACTTAGTTTAGATTTTGGAATGCATTTTTAACTATTCCAATGTATCTTTTGGGATGTCCCTCTTACAAATAACCATAAATTCTGTCTTAATACAATTGATAATTATTCCTTACTTCTCACTTTCCTTTACTACTTTGTATAGGAGTTCCAGAAGTTTTCTTTCTGTGTCTGCTATCAACAAAGTATCATCTGCATATCTTAGGTTGTGAATTGTGTCCACCAATAATAAATAAAGGTAGGACTTTTAGTTCTCTTAGGATCACCTTGCTGTATAAGTTGAATAAATCTGGTGAAAATATGCATCCTTGTCTTATGACCTTTTCTATTTTTGTGTATTTTTCTCAATTTATTTTCTCTCTGTTCACAGACAATTTGTTCCCAGTAAATTTTACGGATTATTCTATCTTTACCAAATCAATAAAGTTTCCTAGTATTTCAAATAGATCTTTGTGTTGTAGCTTATCAAATGCTTTCATGCATTCTATGAAACATAGGTATATATCTTTCTCTATTTGTATTGCTCACTCTGACAGCATTCTGATTGTAAAGTTCACATTTCTTGTTTCAGTGACTTTAACAAGCCTATGTTGCTCTTGCCTTATTACCAGTCAAATTTTGCTGCCCACTCAGAATCTGGATGATATAGTTATGTAGCTCATTAAGCTGATTGTCTGATGGAACTCCCATTCATTTTTGCACTTGACTTCTAAGGCAGCACTATGAAAATCAATCTGTTAAGGTTTTCTGGTATGTTGCCACTGTCATATATTTCAATTATTATTTCAATAATTTTGTAGATCCTGAAATCATCTAAGGCTGACAGTATTTCTATAACAATCCCATCTGGGGCAGCAGCATTGTTCTTGTTCACCTTAAGTTTGGTTCAAATCAGTGACAATTTTAAAGTATTGGTATAAAAGTTCCCATAACTCTTTTTTTTTTTTTAAACTAGAGAATGAGAACACAATTGAAAACCAGATTTTGTCTAGAAGTTTTTACATTCACTTATTAGAAATCAATGCAGTTTCCCCATTTAAAAGATCATCGGGTGATCAGGGAATAATTTCGGCCACTCTTGATAATTTTGGTCAACCAAACTGTTAAGTGTTAACTGTTCTGTGTTACTGTTATGGAATCAGACCTTATTTTCATTTTTGGATAACATTGTCAATACTTTTTTATTAGAGTAAAAATATGAATTAGTTTTCTAATTACTATGTGTATTAGTGTCTAAAAAGTCTGAATAAGATTTTTTTTGTTCTTACTAATTCAAGGGAGTAACGGAAGATGCATTCAGTCACTTTCAGCAGCCGTAGCCAGGTGTGGTCACATGCTCATTTGACGTCACAAACAACAGCAGCAGTAGCAGTGCTGAGTTAGTAGCAAACATGGCGGCGATGTCACTCGCTGTTAAAGAGGTACACCTTTGTGCTACTGGCGTCATAGTGACAAGAAAACTAGAACTTTTGGCTATTAGAGAATTAATATTAGGATTACAGGCCATGATGTCTACTCCTGCCTCTTCTTCAACTGTAGCTTTAGTATGATTTGGACCCCGCTATAGCTGGACTCTGACCAGCAAGCAAGAGACAGTACCCACTTTTTCTGTGTACATTTGCATTTATTATTGCACACACACACACACATATATATATTTATTCATATATATATATATATATATATATATATATATATATATACGTACACCTATATATTTCTGTGTGTGTGTGTGTGTGTGTATATATATATATATATATATATAAAACTATACACAAAACAAAAGGGTAACAATATCGTTTTTGGATATACATTGCTTGACAACAGGATATTATTAGTTGCATAATTAAACAATCCAAGAAGAACACAACATTAAACAGGAAATTCTACGACTACAACAATACCGTCCTCACTTTTGCGTTTCGATTTTAAAAGCTACGTTCACTTTTAAAGTGAAACTGACGTAGTTTTTTGTTTGCGATAGTTGTTATATTTTTTATTGTAATTATTTACTCATAAATTCATAATCTTCAGCCGTCTAACGAATAACGCTACTCTTGTTTTAGTACTTGATTTTAAAAAAATTATACGTTTGGAAATAGTTTGTTGTCATTTTTGTGGGACCAAAGAAAGAGCAAATTGAACAGTTATTTTTAAGTAACGCTAAAAATAAATAAAATATCAGGCATGGGGGCGAGGCAGAGTTCAAGCGGTCCACGATTAAGAACCTATTCTGGAAGTGGACAAACGAGTGGCCCAAGTGGCACAGCTAGTGCCGGACAACCTCCCGGGGGTGGCGGTAGTGTCGGTGTTGGAAGTAGCGAACAATCCACCACTGCTCGAGCTCGAGCTCGAAGTTTAGGTAGTTTCCATCCGGCCACTGGTCATTCCCCGTCCCTCAGTATACCAAACAACAACGGTTCGGCTGGTGTTGGGGCAGGAATAAACTTACTTGGAGCCATGTCACCAGACTCTGACTCAAGTACGCCGGATGATGGACCCTTTGGAAGATCCTTCACGCATTCTTTGCCAGTACATCTGTCTTTTTCATTAACTGGTATGTACAACTAGCATCACACACATTAAATTTTAATTGTTTTTAATTTTACACAGGTATCGTTTTTGTTTTTGTGTGAATGAATCAAATTGTACTGACTGATACATACATACATACATACATACATACATATACACACACACACCGGAAAGGTACGGTGTTGACACTGTTTATAGTGTTTTTGAATTTCATGTTTTGTATTTTTTTTATTCACTCTGTTCGGATGATCTTTTAGGAAGATTTTATTTTTCCTACCTCAGACTTGACTGTGTGTGGTGGTGAGCGCTTTTTACTACTGATGAACCCCCAACGTACACATGGTGGAAATACTGTCTTAGTCTTTGAAAACTACATCATCACATCACTACAACGACTGCAACACGTTATGTACAGACAAAACAGGCAGCATTACAAAGTAACTTCATTTTTTTTTTTAAACAATGCTTGTACATTCAATTTTACCTGTCATTTATTTTTTCTGGTAATCATTTTTGTTTCTGTCTTGATGAATATCAGAAAAATGTCTTCATGTAATTTTACACATTGGTTCCTTTTTTTTGGTAAGTATTTCTGCTCATTGTGTGAGAGTTCTCCCGTTTTGCGCGTTTAAAACATAAAAACAGTAATCGTGTTAAAAATAAAAAGTAAGTCTTTGTTGAAAAATCGAAAATTTCACATTTTTTTAGGCGTTTTAACATGAACAAAGTCAAATAGTAAAATGAGTTGATTTTGTTTTGCCATGACGATGATTTGATTTTGTAAGTAGCCATGACGATGAACTTGGTATTCATTCAACATCCTGTAGGTTGCATTTGCAAATTCCATAGTTTATAAAAGAAATCTAAAATTTTGAGATTGATGTATGTAACTTTATACAAAGCGTGTTAGTGTTATTTTAAGCATTTTTCTTCACATGAATCTATTTTTTTTTATTTGTTTTTGAGTTGTAGAAAAATAAATTCTGCAGACTGCATCCATTCGGATGCCTTAGTGCTTCTTACAACCAGACCATGTGGTATTGTCGCTGTTCGTTGATATTGCTTAAAAAAAGAAAGAAGACATTGCTGTACTTTTCTTGGGCTTAGATTTTTTTTAGTTACTATTTAATTTATTTGTGCATCGGCATAAAACCACATCACAGTCCAGACAGTTTGATGGTCAGTGGCGAGTGAATGTAAACAATGAAACTAAAATTTGTTTTATTTTTTTCTTTACAATATTGTTTATTATTATTACGTAACATTCATGGAGCTGCCCGTTGGCGTAGCGTGATGACTGAAATTTTATCATGCCCTATATTTCTGGCCCAACAAATATTTGAACTTAGTTCTTTTTGTTTAAAAAAATACTTAAGTTAAAGTCTTCATTATTGGTGTTTTTGTTTTGTAGACAAATAAGTATTTATGTTAAAAAAAAAAGAAGAAATTCTTTGGTAGTTGCACTGATATTTTTGCTCTCTAGTTCTATGCGATTCGTACCTGAGGCCGCGCACTCTCCATTTCATTACACTAAGAATGACAGAGGCATGTCCTGATGTCTGCGGCAACATCCGAGAGAACCAGGCAGTTTCTGGATGACCCACCATACGACCTTGAATCATGCTGAGTTCCCTGGATAAATCCTTTAAATTCTGTAGTTTATATTTGGATCACTAGTAATTGCTAAAGTGCTTAGCTTATGACATAGTAGTAAAGTAAGTAAAGAAAGAAGCTGGTAGCCTACTTTCTATGGCTATTTAAAAATATATCCATAACTCGCCAGTGCCATTTTTCAACATTATGCTTTTGTTTTCAAGAACTCAATGTTGAGAGACCCAGGTTGTTTTTTTTTTTTTTTTCCTTTTAATTTTGAACCTTGAAAACTTCGTTGAAACAATAGCATCTTTATTTTTTCTGGTTATTTATTTTCACCTTTGTAGTTTGATATTTAAAATTCCATTTCTTAAAGAAGCAGTATTGTAATTTTTTTCCACTGATTGTACTGCGTAGATGCGGCACAAATGAAATGAAATACCAATTTTTAGTTGCTATCATTTACATCCGCATTATCTACCCTCAAAATTTAAATTAGGTTTGTTTTTCATAACACAACAAATGCTGAAATTAATATCCTGTTTTGATGGGTACAATGAATTTTGATAAATATGACGTGCTAACTCTGTTGGCCATGTTGTTGTCATACAATATGGCTGCCTGCTGCTCTTGCTTGCTGTTGAAACGTTAGTTTAGTTGACATTTCTGACGTTGCAGCTGATAAATACATTCTCTTGGGCTTATTATTTTGATGCACATGTTATACCACACCAGAATCATCATAGATTTACCTTTTAAATGACTTTCTGTGAATAGCAATAACAATAAAAAGGTCGGAAATGTACTTGTTTTTGTTGTCGATATGTTTTTTGTTTTACTCGCGAAACACACTTCATACACACTTTGAATTATAAACTAAAATCAAAATTACTCTGTCTCAAGCAAATTTATCTCGGACGACTGATGCAACTAAGTTTCTTTTTATATCTTTGAAACTTGACGAGGATAGAAGTTGAACACCGGTAAAGTTTTTTTTACTCATCTTACCATTACTCACTGTAAAATAGTAAACTAAAAATCTTATTTTGGATTGAGTATTAAAAACAAACTCTAGTATATGAGCAGCATGCAATTTTTATCGTAATCTTTCCTCTTTTTTTTTTAAATCCTGATTATTACTATAAATCTCAACGCAAGGAATACTTTGCCGCTTCCTTTTCAATTTTTGCAACATCAGTTTATGAAATATTTATTGTTTGTCATGTAGCTCTTTCGTATCTCTTTTCCACAGAGCTCATGTACGAGTAGAGTTTTTCTAATAATAAAAGAATGTGTTATATTGCATACTAAAAAAGAGTAAAGAAAGACTGATTCAGAAGCTGCTGAGTAATAATAGCTAATAAGAATCACTATATTGCCACACTGCTATTTTATGGTTGAAAAATTTGAGTGAATTCTACAAAGCTTGAAAAACACCATTTAAAAATTTGGTATGATTTTCTTTTTTATATTCCTGATACCATTTCAATATAAAGAACAAAATTTTCCCAAACAATAAAAAAAATGAAATAAATTTAACAAGATTTAGATTTAAGAATTTATAAATTTGACGTCTGACTAGCAAACAGAATAAGTAAAACAGCTGCTAAAACTAAGTTTATGATATGAAGTAGGTATCAGTCAATCATTTTTAACCAGTGTGCTTACTAAACTTTTTGTTTTTTTTAACAATTTTGTGAAGCTAAATGTAAACCTGGTTGTAAAATTAATTCAATCAATAAGTACTCATTAATAAATCACTCATATATTTCCTAAGTCTTCAAACTCTTCATGAAGCAAACTAGATTCTATTTTTTCCTGTCTTTGAACACTCAATATATTTTCTATTTTATAATTGTAGATGTTGATGATGGTTTTGATAAACTTTAAGTGGAATAGGTTTACTTGTGACGCGTTTCATCCTTCATTGGACTAAATTTGTTATGTTGGTACAATTTCCCCAATATTGAACTTGATATATAAAAATATATATCGTTATCTCATTACACATACATGCACACTTGTATCGGTATTTATTCACACATATTTGCATTTGAACTTAGTTTATCTTAAACATCGTTCCCATCATTTGATATACTTTTTTTTTATTAATCACAATAATACTGAAAGTTAAAGTTATTAATTTTATTTTATAATAGTTTAAATGAGGTTTTTAGGATAGTTAATAAAAATGGAAAATAATGAAGAAAACTTTTCAATATCCCTTTGTAAGATAACAGGACTTAATTTATGTAATAGTTATTCTTAATTCTTCTCCACTATTTAAGTAAAAGTTTTAAAATTCAACCACTTAATTTTTGTAACTTAGCTATTAACTATTAATAAATTTTTAAAACTCTTCTGTTTTATATTCTTTGATTATATTGCTTTACCTGTTCTAGATCATTAGTTTTTCAGCATTTAATTATGAATCTATTTGAAATACACTGAAGTAGCTGCTCAATATTTTTTAAAAAGTTTAACATTATTCTTGAGGGAAGCCAGAATTGAAAATATTCTACATAAATGCTGTAAGGTCAGTTGGCTATCAATAAAAAAGCAAGTCATTTTGAGATTAAATATTCAGTTGATAATCACATGTAAAGCTAAATAAAGAGATTGAGATTGTATTAATGGATCTAATCAATTAAAGTACAACATGGCTGTTAGTTGATTGAAAAATGATTCATACAACGTGGAACTATATATTCAGTAAAGTTGGCTTTTCAGAGAAGTTTGTTTTCTCTCCAAATTATGACTTTTAAATCTGATAGAAAAAATTTTAGTTATTATTTATCACTGTGATAACTGAAGTTCTGCCAGGAATGGTGAAATGGTGTAAGAGCCAGGGCACAAATTTACTGTAGATGACCTTGTGATCAAGGCACTGTCAAGACATTTTTGTTGTAGTGAATTGTTTTCTCCTTTGATCAGAGTAGCATTTTTATGTCAAAATCTTGGTCAGTTTTGTTATGGTGGCCAACCAATGCATTTGATGTATTGTTTTGTAAAATGTCCCTTTTGGGTTTATATAATGTTTTATTTAGATTACTTGAAGTTTCTCCTGTGTAGTTTTTATTATTATAAGTGATCAAGTAAATTCCTCCAAGTTTTAGTTTATTGTTTTGTATAGTATTGACTAAGACTTTTATTGTTTTAGATGTTATAGTAATACATATGACCAAGAATGTGGGAGTTATTTGGCAATTATTTTCTTCTTTGTGGTAGCATTGAAAAGTTCTTGGTTTGACTCATTTTGACAAATGACCAAACGGGATTGATTTTTTTTAATACCATCTTCTTTGGGCTGAAAATTTCTCAGCATCTCCTTATAGATCTGATAAAATGACTCCTGTTTGTCTTAATGAGTGCCAATAGAAGATACTGTTTTGATTCATATGCTCCATAACAATGTACAAAAAATATTTT